CACTCGACATCAATGCCTGTTGATTAGATTGTTGATGGATAGAATTTAGCTGCTGCTGTAAGGTGGTAGGTGGAACAGTACCAAGAACTGGGGGCTGTACTCCTAGTCCAGGGCCAGCTTGAGAAGACACTGATGAGTTTTGCGAATTAAACTGCACATATAATCGAATGTCATCTATAATAACTCTTGCACCAAATAAGCATACCTTATTCAGTAATAAATGATGGATATGATTATTCATGACATTAACTAAAGCAATGTGCAAAGAATTGGATGATCAACAAAGTGCAGCCACAGAGATTATTGTGGGAAAAAAAATATCAATCCGTTTCCATGAAAGTTTGATATGAATTACATTTGTCCACATTTCACTGAATCAGAAGGAACACAAACAGCTGATTCTACAAAAAGTACAGTACCTGTTGCAAAAGTGGGTTTTGCTGTGCAGAAAATTGCTTATGATTTCCACTTGTAAGAGGAGGCATGCCAAGAATGGTACTATGACCTTGTTGCTGCACTTGTTGGAGCCGCTGCAAAAACTTCTCCCTCTGATCAGGTGCAATTTCAGTTCTTCCTCGAAACATCCCCTGAAAATTGGTTAACTGACTTTAAATATCACAAACTTTATCTAGTCCATAAAATTTGAATCCAAGAATGCAATGAGATAAAGAATAAATATAATGGCAAAGCCGCAAAACACAAGCATATTTTCAATTCTACAAATGGTATACATTCGAGGTTGCATTAGGCCATGCAACCTATGTATAAAACTGGAAATTAACAAAGTGTATGAGAGATAGAGAGAGAAAGATTGAAGAAATCCTTATTAGTGAAAAGTTACATACTGCTTCATTTTGGTTTTGGAAGGAACTTCCAGGCCTCCACTGCATGCCAGAGACCATAGACGGAGAAAATGCTCTGCCAGGTATACCAGCCTCACTAGCATTGCTAGAATCAACTGGTGCACTTACGTCACTAGCCTTGGCAGCTTGAGGCAAGATCAGTCTGTTAGTTATGGGGGAAACAAGCGGCTGCACCACGCCACTACTCCCAATTCTCTCATCAGCTCCCAATATATTTCTCTTGGTCACATCAGAAACTGAAGGAACTGCACCAAGGGCACTATTACTAGGAGCCACATTGCTAGAGCTAACAGGGATACTAGATGGAATTGGTGCAGAGAAGCCACCTCGACCGATGCCCCTTACAAGTCCAGCATCAGAAAGAGATGGTGATGGTCTACGGCCAGGGAAGCTTGCTAATTCGTCTTCCTTCACAGAAGGAGACAAGCTTACAGGAGATGAAGAATTAGCAGCCCCTGCATTCTCTGTGACACCCCGAACAGCATTCAAACCTGGAATGGCCAAAACACTTGGCACACTGGGCAGATTCTGAGTTGAAACACTTGCAGAGACAGGAGTTGCATGACTCCCAGTTGGCGTTGATGCAGGAGAAGAAGAAAGCGCACCACTTTTAGGAGGTGGAGTTCTAGGAATGTTATCAGCATTACTGTCCTGGGAAACTATATCTTCAACTGGCTCTTGTACAGAAACACTCTGCTGATTAGTAGAAGTAACAGCGGGCTGGAAAAGAAAGATTAACCTTTAGTACAGCAACATCAGACAGCATCTTACAGAAAGGAAGCAGACGTCATCAACATATCTTCAAGTTCTAAAATATTCTAATAGAGAAACAGGAGGGGGGAAAGACTTTCTTATTCAATTTAAACTTCCTTTAAACCAAAGGTTCATTCAATTGCTTACCAATTTTGATTTAAAATCTACTAAAAAGAATTAAAAATGATTGACCAATAGATATGTTATATATCAGAAAATGTTTACCACAAACACATCTTAACAGCATTCTGCAGCATCACACCAATTATGGATGCAATTGTTTATATCAAAAACTAAAGATGCAAACTTCAATTTCCTTAACAGAACCCATACGCTTCAACTATACAACAACCTACTCATTGAAGTACCATTGACTCAAGATTTTGAGACATACAGGCATTGGAGATGCGAGTGGTGCCAAAGAAGTCTTCAAGCAAAGCATCGGTACACCCTGCCCCCCAAAAATAAAAAATCAAACTGGGTTTTGACGTAGTCATTAAAATACTAAAATATATATGATACCTGATGCCATGAAAGGTAATGGAATCCAAATAACAAAAACAACAAAATTGATAAGCAAACAATTGATTTGTAAACTTAAAGAAACAACTAGGAATAGGTTTAGATGAGTCAACCACATGTCCTAACTAAAAACTCAGTTAACAGAGATGAGACAACCTGGCATCTAAATATAATGTTGAATGCGCATCTCTACTGGTGTGGCATAAGGAAGGCCATAAAAGCCATCTACTTTCCAATTTTTCATCCATTCCTCCTATGGTAGCAGGATAACTTGTATATAATGGACAGTTAAGTTGAGATTCTTTAAAAAAAAACATACTAACTAGTATCTTGCAGTTATATAGTCAATAAAGGATTAACAAACGCATAAGCAAATATTTACTTCGTAAAAAACGGACTATGGTTTAAAAGGATTTTTTAATCATTTCTTTTTTTTACATGTCTATCTCAACTGACAATATATGTTTCTAATGTAATGAAAAATTAAATAAACTACACCTCCAACTGAATATAAGAACCTTAAATAGAAATTGCATTCAGCAAAACAAAAGACGAAAAAAAAAAAGTACCTTGATAAGACCAGGAGGAATAATGGCCAGATCTTCAAGGGACTCCACCTTGTCCAATGGTAAGGTGTTGTAAAGCTCATCAACTTCACTAAATTCATCAAAATCCTCCTGAAAAATAACATAACAAAATAAAAAAGTCTGATATAGGTAATCGAAAAGCAATCATGACCTCGATTGAGAATGTTCTATATGCTGATTTATAAAGGCAGAAAAAACAAAGATAAATTTCAAAGCACAATAAACCTGATTGCGTTCCACATAGTCCTCCAAAAAGTCTTTAACATCATTGACCTGCTCAGGACTCAGCTCGTCATTATCCAAGAGCCTCAAGATCAGTTCTAACTTCATTATATGTGCCTTATGCCGAGTAATTGAAGTCTCTAGATGGGTCTGCAAGACAAAATAAAAATAAATAAATTGTCAAAGAATGCAGAAACCACATGTTTCCTAAGAATGCAAGTTTTTTCTCTTACCAGTCTGGGCGGCCTGCCCTTCCCTTTCTTGAAAGTTAGCCCTTCAATCTCAGCTTCAAAGCTGTCAATCTGCGATTCCAACTCCCCAACCTTCTCAACACAATGAAACACCAAAAATACTCACCGAATGATAATGGATAGTTTCAAATACAGAAATTGTAAAACCGATCTCATCAGATATGATTGAACAACCATTATTGACAAGCTATGTCATTATAACAAAAATTTGCAATCTAAAGCAGAACTGAACAAAAAAAAGAACCACAAACATATAAAACTTCAATAAAAACAATCAGCGGCACCAAGCACCAATGACAGCCATCAATCAATTAAAGAACTCCACCTTTCACAACCATCCACTGGCACTATACGTATAATTAAATATATATCGGACACGAGAACACACAAGCCAAAACTTATACACAAATAAAACATGGATCATGCAATGAATGAAACATGATGCAGACATAATTTAAACTACAAACGCAGCAGACATCTTAAACCATACTGTTTTATATAGTCAAGCCTCACAGGCTTCTAAGGCAGCAGCAGTAGGTAATAACAGATATAGTCAAGCCTCACAGGCTTCTAAGGCAGCAGCAGTAGGTAATAACAGACTTCAAGAAAAATCTTTTGTTTCACATACCACGTTGTTTATCCAATCCCTTGTCTCTGATTTGGCCTTCTCCCTCGGATCCTATCATAAAAAGGAATTACACAGTTGGTAAGTTGATTCACTACTAAATGGATTATCATAAGGATAAAAGAGCTAAATCCGTGTTCAAGGTGGAGAAATAAGCATTGCCACAACAGCATTACCCAAAAACAAAATTCCTGAATTGATTAAAAACGAGGTGCGAACAAAATGAAACGGGATGCATTAGTAGTTACGGTTTTAGGTTGTTGGCCCAATCCTTCTTTAGAAAATGCTTTTGTTTTTGTCTCCTTTTCACAAATCTTAAACCTTTCCATTTCGCGCTCAATGAGTTTGCGAGCATCCACCAGAGCCTGCTCATAAGAGGCACTCACCTACGTCAACATGCATCGAAAAATGAATTAATTGTCATGTCCAAAACCATCGAGTACAAACCAAGGTAGAAAAACTTATAATTTGCAAATCGAAAACAGTTGAGAGAAGTAAAAAGAGAAAGACCTTCTTATCCTTGATTTCACTGGACTGAATCCAAGTCTTGATTTGGTCCCTGTACCTCTGGAGCTTCTTAATCTCCTTCTTCAGGTCGGCCTCAAACTTCTCCTTCTGGTTCGCATTGTCCGTATCGTAAACCTAACCGCATTGCACAGAAACACGCATCCGTCGTTTTATCAGTTGGAATTTGCGTTTCTGTAAGCAAGCAAACGAGGAAGGTAGAAGAAGCTACAAACCTTGTTCCAAATGCTATCGAAGACATCGACGCCTTCCTGGACCTTCTTGAGAACGCGGTCGATCTCGCCCTGGAGCTTCCGACTTGCCCCCATCCTCTAATTCCCCCAACCGGACGATCTGATTGCAACCCCGCTAGGGTTAGGGTTTTTTATTGCTTTGTTTTCCCGATTGCGCTCGAACTGAACAAATTTAGACGACCAAATCTATCCACCTAATTTTTAGAAGGGTAATGAGTCGCTTTATTTGTCGGAGTAGAGTTAAACCGTATTCTTATTTATATTTTCTTGGTTATTTTAAGCCAATACGATGCCGTCTGAATTGGGCTTTGACTCGTCTGAATTGGGCTTTGACTCGTCTGAATTGGGCCTCTAGTCTTTGGGCTGGACAAATAAAACCAACCGTAGCATGACGCCGTGTCAAATGGAATGCACTGTCACTGAGTCTCCGGTCTCTGCACTCATCAACACAGCACAGTACTCACTCACTACCCACAGACTGAACAGATAAGAGGAGAGAGAAAAGATGAGAGGGAGTTTTCCGGCGCCGGCGGTTATATCCGGTGCGGTGAGCTTCACAATTACTCAAATTTCTTTGGTGGGCAGAAGAAAGAAAGATTCGTTTGAATTCCCGGTCTGCTCCTCCTCCCAAACAGCTCGCTTTTCCTTCTCAATTCACGACGAGCATAACCAGCAGAGGCAAAGACAGAGTCGAAGACAATGCCTTTGGTTACCAGGGAGAAGCAAATGGAAAGGAGGACGTCGTGCGGGCATTGGCTCGCAATGCAAGTGCAACTACGAAAGCGGAGGAGAGGATAACGAATGGGTGGTGGTGAATTTCTACCATTTCGTGATGATCAAAGACGCAGAGGCGGAGGTAGCCAAGCATCTCTTTTTCGTTGAGGACCTCGACATACGCGGACGGATATATCTGAATGAACAAGGGATAAATGCACAGGTACTTATTGCTTTCTTTTTGTAATGTGTACGAGCAGAAATTCTCTGTGGACGACGTTCGTTCCATAGCCGGATTGTATGTATGACTGAACTGAATTCGTGAACCATACATATTACTGCAAGACAAAACGGTAAGGAGTGTGTTTGATATCCTGTGTTGTGCGTATGTACAGTACAGTGGGCCGTTGAGAGATGCACTTGCATATGTTGAATGGTTAAGGGGGGACGAGAGATTTTCTGGCATCCTAGTGCAGATTTCTGCAGCAACAAATGGGCACGCCTTTCCAAAACTCAAGTTGCGGTATAAGCCCTCACTGGTTCAGGCAAGCCCCAAAAGCCAACTTCTTCTTTTTCTTCTACTCCTTGTAGCTAATGTCATATCTCCCCCGCTTGCAGTTAGAAGGAGGTATTTCACATCTTCCTTTGCTGGACCCTTCAATGCGAGCAACGCCTCTATCGCCATCTGAATGGAGAAAGAGATTGGAATCATTGAAAACAACTAGTGATGCATCAAATGACAATCTTAAAAGAAACCAGATTTTATTGGATGTGAGAAATGGTATTTTACTTCCCAGCCTTATAATTTCAAATGATTTTTCCTCTTATCGTTAATCCGGCAATTCCCTTCAATTGTGTATTGATGGTGGCACAATTTGAGTGTATCATACAGATTTGTTCATAACTGTACATTGAACGGTTTTGATAGCTAGATATGTTTAACAGTGTCGTTTCTTCTTTTGTGTTTGACATGTTGCCCTTGGTCATGTTTCTAATGTACAATTGTGCATGCAGTTATTGTTATTTCTGTAGCCTCTACGTCAGTCATATTAATCGTGTTCATAATTTCAGCCACAGAAGTTTGAAGATTTTGTCACTGCTTGTAATCAGGTTATGAGTGGGATATTGGTCATTTTGAAGGGGCTCGGCGACCTGATGTGGACTGCTTTAGGAGCACTTCGTTTGGGTTATCGCAACCAGAGGTACGTGACTTTTAGTTCAATGACATGTTAACATGAACTAGTGTTGTTTGGGCAAAACAAAAAAGCTGTGTAGAAGTCCCATAGCCGTAAGGATATTGATGTGTAATGGTTTGAAATCAAGTTCTGCTGTGAAGGTTTTTTCCTAGCTATGGAGATTAAGATCAGGCACATTAGCAATTAGGAGGTTCCCTTAGTTTGTGGTTAAACCGCACTTCTGTGGTATTATATAGTGAAGGTTGCAGCCTATACTTTTTGATATACGAGAATTTATGCAATAATATGTTCTGAAGGCAGTAGAAACTTCATTTTCTGGTGACGGATGTGAACATACTACTTTCTGTCTCTGTTCATGCTTATGCAGGTCATTGCCGCAGATCCTTTAGAAAATGTTGACAAAGAAAAGACAGATATAATGATGTATTGCACTGGAGGTATCCGTTGTGATGTATATTCCACAATCCTAAGGTAACCCTCCATCTGTTGCGATGTATGTTGATGATTGTATTGCATTATTAATGGGAAAATCTGTGATGGAACGGATTGTGCTGTGATGTTGGAAGCAATTCTTTATCTTTCTTCTCTCGCCTTTCTTATTTTGGTCATTTAGTTGTAAGTTAATTTCATCTGCCAGACAACAGGGCTTTCAAAATTTATACACATTAAGGGGAGGTGTTTCTCATTATCTGGAGAATGAAGGTCCTGTTCGGTGGATTGGTAATTTGTTCGTATTTGACTCTCGTCTCTCTCTCCCACCGCCTGCCTACAAGCCTGAAGCCGCGACTAAAGCAAGCACGCATGAAGATTCAGATAATAATACGTTCGCTAGATGCTATATATGCGGTTCACAAGTCTGTGAGTTAAGGCATAGAAACTGTGCAAATCTCGACTGCAATCTGCTGTATCTGTAAGTTCCTTTTGTTATCTATTCCCTCTTCATCCATCCATCCATCCCTCCCTCCTACAAGTTGAAGCGTCACTGCCTAAGTATCATTTTACCATCTGAATTACGTAAGGATTTCTATTTCAGATGCTGTATGAACTGTGTGAAGGATTTAAGAGGATGTTGCTGTTCCAACTGCACAACTGCTGCTCGACTTAGAACTGTTCTTCCAGGGTTCCAGAGATACAAGAAGTGGCACACGTATCGAGATTCGATACCACACAGCCGGTTGACGGCTTGATCAGACTCGTAAATCCTCGGGACGGTTCATCACTTAATCTAAACCAAAGCATCTGTCGGGCATCATGCTCGTCTTCCTGTTGGATTGTTGCAACGCATGGTGGAGCGGGACGAATTTCCCTTTTCTTTTCTAACAATGGAGAAAGGCGAGTTTGGTGTCCGTGGTCATCAAAAGTTAGCTTGCAGCCTTCAGTCTCCGGAATCTACATCGGCCTATCTCTTCTGCTACGGGAAACAAGCGGCAGCAACAAATGTAGCAGAAACGAGGAACTGAATCATCTAGCCACAACAATAATTTTGAAGCTAGTTGGTCGCATATTTATAATTTTTTTGTTCCCTAAATATTGTAATGTCAACACTGGAGTGCAACATTATCTCATACACGAGACATATTTACATGTCCAGATGCCCAAGATCTGCCATGAATGGCTCATTGTTAATGTTCAATTGTTTATCTGAATGTAAATTATGACAAAGTAGAAAGTAAAAACACGCGATTAGATACGGGTACATAAAATAGAGCACAAATGCTCGGTTCCTGTTTTACATACTGGATGCAGCTTATCCCGCTAATAAAACATAGGGCCCTAAAACATACTAAAGGGTACAATAAGCATAGAGCAATCTATGAATTAAAACTACAGTACACAGAACAAAGTGAGTTTAATCAATGACAGTCTCTAATCAAAGGCTCGTGCAAACGCAACAACTCCACCGTGCCGTTCCTGCCAAGAATTAAACAAAGATATGTTAGACTGGCTGATAACAAAAAAGGTCGTACCCAGTGCACAAGGCTCCCACTTTACGCAGGGTCTGGGAGAGGTGAATGTTGGCTAGCCTTTCCCCCATTTATGGAGAGGCTGATAACAATGACAGAAAAAATGAGCAGCTTAGCATAGTAAACTGTAAGGAAACAATTTATATGTGCTCACGCATGCCATGCCACACTCATCCAGAAGGCAACAAAGAGAGGGTTCGAGCCCCACAAAAACTTGCAACACAAACAAAAGCAAACACTGTGCCATAAAGCAGTACAACGAAAATCAGGCCACTTCACCTGGCTAGTAGGCTGCATAGCATTTGATCGAATGAATAGGATGCAGGATGATCATGATGTAGGGTAACTCCTAAAACAGGTCAGGTAACATATAGACCTTTTCAACGAGCCTAGCAACACAACTCTTAACTCTTAATCAGGTTCTGCTCATGCTAGATGCTAAACTTTTATATCAGACTATGTAGAAAATAGAAAAGAGTTGTGGTGGGGCGTGATTGATAATAATTCTATAGCCGTAATAACAAATCAAAAGGGTCAAAAGATGAGACCTCTGAACAGAAAAAATAGACGGAGGAAATGACAAAATTATAGGCCTCACAGTGTGTTTGTCATTGTGAACACACATTCATATCATGGCGATTGTATTATACAAAAAAGATAGTAGACCTGGTATTCATTTATTCAAGTGCCAAATCTGCACAACTCAGAATACCGTGACTTGAATACCATGTCTACTTCCTTAATAGATGGAGGAAATGACAAAATTATAGGCCTCACAATGTGTTTGTAACTGTGAACACACATTCATATCATGGCAACTCTATTATACAAAAAAGATAGTAGACATGGTATTCAAGTCATGAACACCAAACAGAAAAATGGTTATTTATTCAAGTGCCAAATCTGCACAACTCAGAAGGGGGCTCTATACAAACTTCGTGATGCAATCGGTATAGTTTGTTTCAGTGTACATAATCGTAATCGTAATAACTAGTATCGTAACAACTAATATCATGATAAGAAAGTGATTATTCATTTCAAATTCAAGGTAATTGAAGTGACACACAACAAATTCGGAACAAAACGGATGCACATTACGATTTAGTGTTACAATAATTCAAATGACACCCAACAAATTAAGAACAACAAAGAAACACATTACGATTAATTTGTACGGAGAAAAAGAAGAAGGGGACGGACCTGAAAGATTGAAGAAGAACAAGGAAGAGGAATCGGACAGGTGTAAAATAGAACTGATAGTTATTTACAGTAGCGGTCGGCTTTCTTCTTGACGCGGTCGTCAAGAACGTCCTCGACGGTCTTCCGTTCAACGGATTTGGGATCGTAGCCGAACTTCTTGGCCTCAACCGGGAACAGCTGCTCGTACTTCATCCGCTTCGCTGCGTCGATGGTGTAAGTCTCCGTTCCTCCTCCAGTTCCTTCTACAGCTGCTGCTGCTTCGGCGCTTCCGTCCTCAGCCACCACTTGGGAATCGTCGTTAGGGTTCATATGCTGCTCCTGAAGCTGCTGCTTCTTCTTTTTCTTCTTCTTCTTGTCGATGGCTTTGCTGCGAGTGGCGAGAGTTCCGTCTTTGAAGGTCAATCTGCCTCCTTTCGCTCTCTCGAATGGATCCGACATATTCCCCCTAACCCTTGCAAATTTTGATTTGGATTCTGTTTCCCCCAACTCTTTCTCCCTCAAAACTCTTCGGAACGCAATCCCCAATCAAAAATTCCACCACCGCCTTCTAGCCTTCTCCTCCTGTAAATATAGTACAGCCTTTATTTTGCACTTCGCACTGGGTCAGGCCCAAACAAAATACAACCCAGGCGGCCCATCACAAACCCAACGGATCAGATGAACCCACTCCGGGTGCTGTACCATTTGGGTTTACGTGACGATGACATGTATTTTCTCCAAACTGGCAGCAAAATTGTATGATCATTGACTTTGTTTTCGAGACCAATACAACAATCAGCATGGATCGTGCAAACTTGATTAAAATCCTTACTGGTTGACAGAAGCCACCAAAGTATAGTGTATCAGAAACCCTCATTTTCAATACAATCTGAGCAACAAAGAGATCAGATTTATCTCATTAAGTACATCTTGTTTGCGGTTTTTTTGGATACGTATTTCTGGAGACCAAAACTTATAGAATAGGACAGTTCGATCATTGGATTTTACATAGAAAAGTCCCGTGTTGGGAAAAATATTTATAGTGTAAGGATCACCTATGAAGTAATCACATGAAAATTGAATATCTACATTTGGAAAGAATTGTAAAAATGCATCTCAAAGCCACATTATATCATTATCCTGTGCATTCCGATATGCAATGCATGCAGCAAAATCTAACAACAATTAAAACAAATCACCATACTAGCTTTTTTTAATTTTCGAATTTTAATTTGGAAAAGTAAACAAAAATTGGAAGGAAAATTACGTACCGTAATGACAAGCTGTAGCCTTTCTCGAGAATAAAAGATAAAAACTGGATTTTTCTCCAAGTTATATGTAAGTGGTTGGAAGACATAAAAACTGCCTCGCGAGTAAAGTTGGCACCTTGAGTGTTGAGTCGGTAATAATGAGGGTGCGACACTTGGCGAGCATATGCTTTTTCGTCCAAGCAGATGACTACCAAATGCTTAAGCATCCATTTCATGTTACTTACGATCTCAAAACTCTCCAGAAACAGATCGAATATTGAATTGGGTTCTGCCCATGCATCATTCAACGTAGTTATTCTGCCCGTTTTGTTCTTCATGCATGTATTTCAGAGCTTTATCCAATGGATCCATATCCTCTAGCTCGTTGGCCTGCATGCACCGATAACCATGCATGCATGTGTTATATGTACGCACGTACTTACGTACTAACGTAACTAATTGTTTGTGGAGTACACAGTAAAAGGGATGAATCAGTGAGAGATAACTAAATAGTAATTAATTAAGTGGACTACTGTACTCACCTGCTGGGAGGAAGTTGTGGCTCTACAGGACGGGAGGTGTGGTGCCACTGCCAAGGCATCATAACGAACGAGATCCCGGAGGATACACACAATTGTAGACAGTAAAGCAACCGACGACAGCTGCGAAATGTAACCAAGACTGAAGCAACGACTTTTGGTTTTAGTGGGTTGCGTCCAAAGTGCGAGATTTAATAGACAATTGCGGCATTGATTTCCCGATAGGAACTCTAACTTATGCAATTCAGGCTGATGGTTCGAAGTCGAAGTAGGCATTACGCAAGTCCCATTTTGATAGTGTCAATTTGTTTTTACTTTTTAGTTTGGTTTCACTGTTGATGTTTATATATGAGAAGAGTGTATATATGAGGGAAAGAATGGATGAAAAATGGGGATGGAAGAGCGGGAAAGAAAAAAGGACTAATGAAAACAAAATTTTGAAAGTGAAAACGACGAGTGGTGGATTCAGAAAAAACTATTCATGAGGGTCACATATAAAAGTCCACAAACATTTCTTAGATATATAATAACCTTAAAATTTAAACCATAGTTCCATCATTCATAACTTATAAGACAAATATCAATACAAGTTACAATTGTCCACGATGCGGCTTCATATTTTGAAAACACTATATAGCTTCATTATCAATGGAAGAAAAAACCATTGCTCTCAATATAAAACCTCATGCTATCACTCAACCATGATAGGATAGAGATATTGGTGTTTAAGATGTTGACACTTGTAATTAGATTAGAGAAGAAGTTAGTTAAGGAAGTTAGCTGTGTAAGTGTAAAACTATAAATACCTCAACACTGTATTACTTAGAGGTTAAGAAAACAGTTCAGAAATATTCATCTTCTCTCTAAGTTCCTCTTTCTCTCTCTCTCTCTCTCTCTCTCTAAGTCTGTTACATTCTTATTCTTCCTTATTGTGTAAGATTGATCATAGTTAACATGGTATCAATCGCCATTGTTGCCTGCGCATAATCTTCGATCCTCTGCTTCCGCTCCGATTCCGATTGAAGGTGTATTCGTTCTTCTTGATTTGTGTCTGGTTGTTCTCTCTGCGTTTCTTTCGTCTTCTTCTGATTTGGATTTCTAGGGTTTCTTGGGTGGTCGTGATTTTTTTCGTCGATCATCTTTTTCTGCTTCCTTCCGTCTTGCATATCAACTGTTTGCTATAATTCCTCAGAGAGTTTTTCCGAAGAAATTTCCATGGTGACTGCAACTCAACTTCAAATTGTGCAATCTCCGATTACTGCTTTAATCTCCACAATTTCGACTTCGGTTAATGTCAAATTGGATGATTCCAATTATCTCAATTGGAATTTTCAGATACAACTTTTGTTGGAAAGCAATGGTATTATGGGGTTTGTTGATGGCTCGCACCCTTGTCCACTTCAATTTGCAGTTTCTCCTCCTGAATCTGGCTCTTGTACTTCTGCTGAATCCGATGCATTTGTGGTATGGAAAATGCATGATCGTGCTATAATGCAATTGATCACAGCCACTCTGTCTCCGGTTGCATTGTCTTGTGCTATTGGCAGTAAGAGTTCTCAGGATCTTTGGATTCGTCTGAAAGAACAGTTCTCTACGGTGTCTAAGACCAGCATTTTCCAAATGAAGTCCAATCTTCAGACGATAAAGAAAGGGTCTGATTCGGTGTCTCAGTATCTTCACAGAATTTAAAGAGGCTAGAGATTACTTATCTGCTGCTGGGGTTTATTTTGCAGATGAGGACATAGTTATTCTTGCTCTCAATGGGTTACCCTCTGAATATAACACTTTTCGCTGTGTTATTCGGGGTCGTGAGAATGTAATCTCTCTTAAGGAGTTTCGGTCTCAGTTGCTTGCTGAAGAGGTCATTGTTGACACTTCCACAACTGCACCTTTTATTACTGCCATGGTTGCTAATACTGTCCCTCATTCTGGCAAGCATCACTCACCTAATCCTGCATCAGGGCAGTCTCTCAATTCTTTTCTGGAGGATATAAGCAGTTTAATGGGAATAAAAACAAAGGGAAAGGCAAGTTTCATCAAGGGGCTCGGTTCTATTCACCCAAACAGTATACTCAAAACCCATGTGCTTCCTACACCAAGTCCGGGCATTCTTGGTCAATCACCAGTACCATATTTTGGTCATCCAAGTGCACCATTGCTGCCTACTTGTCAAACGTGTAATGTTGAAGGACACACTGCTCCATATTGTCAGTCTAAACCTCCTGATCGAGCTTCTTGTCAAATATGTGGCAAGCATAATCACAGCACATGGTACTGTTTTTTCAATGACAAGGGTCCTAATTTTGGTGGTCCTACCCGACAGTTCTATCCTTCTCAAGTGCAATCATCCCCATATGGTGCTTCAAACTATCCTGCTCCATTTCAGCATTCATCAATGCAACCTCAGCCTTTTCATGCTCCTCAACAATCTCCTCAAGCACTGCATACTGTGATGCCTCAGTCACCATCATCACCATCTACTTCTTATTCTAATCCTCAAGTGTGGATTACTGACTCTGGCGCTACTAATCACATGACTGCCGATCTCAGTAACCTATCTTTGGCATCACCATATCCTACATCTGAGACCATTCAAACTGCCAATGGTGAAGGTTTGCCTGTGTCTCATATTGGTAGCACAGTTCTTAATGTTTCTAAACTGAATTCTGTGCATCCGATTAAGCTCAATTCTGTGCTTTATGTTCCGAAGTTGACTCAAAACTTGTTATCTGTGCACCGAATCTGTTTAGATAATAACTGCTGGCTAATCTTTGATGCTTTCTACTTCTGGATTCAGGACAAGGCCACAGGGAGGATCATTTACAAAGGACAATGCAGTAATGGTCTCTATCCCGTCCCTTGTCTTTCTGCCACATCTCATTCTACACATTCAACTCAATTTCAAGCTAAAGCTTTCCTTGGTCAGCATGTTCATTCTACAACCTGGCATAATCGACTAGGTCACCCATCTAATAACATTGGTTCTTTGATGCTAAAGCAAGCTAATATTCCTTGTTCCAAGTCTTCCTTACCTGTAATGTGCTCTAGCTGTTTGGAGGGCAAGTTTTGTAAACTTCCATTTTCCCTAAGTACCAATAAGTCTGTAAAACCTTTTGCTGTTATTCATAGTGATCTTTGGGGTCCCGCTCCTTCTATTTCCATTGATGGTTATCGATATTATGTGACCTTTATCGATGAATATACAAGACATTGTTGGCTGTTTCCATTAATCAACAAATCTGATGTCTTTGCTACTTTTGTTGCCTTCTATTCATTTGTTCTTACTCAGTTTGCAACTGCTATACAAACCTTACAGAGTGATGGAGGGGGTGAGTATGTCAGTAAGGTTTTTCAGTCCTTTCTTCTTGAAAAGGGCATTGCTCATCATCTTTCTTGCCCACATACACCCAAGCAAAATGGTCTAGCCGAGCGAAAGCATAGGCATATTATTGAAACCACTGTGACTCTATTACAAACAGCTAGGTTACCTGCTTGTTTTTGGTCATATGCCTGTCAAACAGCTGTCTATCTTATTAATCGAATGCCTTCTTCTGTGCTAGGACTTAAATCTCCTTTTGAACTTTTGTTTGGTCATCTTCCTGTACTCTCTCATCTCCGGATATTCGGTTGTGCATGCTATCCTTTGTTAAAGCCTTATAATGCTACTAAACTACAAGCCAAGACCACCAAGTGTATTTTTCTGGGGTATGCTACCAAATATAAAGGGTATATATGTTATGAGGTTTCCAAACAGCGAGTTTATATTTCAAGACATGTTGTG